AGTTGTATCTTTTAAATGAAACAAAGTCTATCAGAGGCAAAGCTTTGAAGAGGCTCATATTTTTCTACTTTTCAGGAAAAAAAAAATGGTGAAATAGTGCTCTTGCTTTGCAGAGGAAAGAAACACTAACATTTAAGTGAAAGATGAATACTAGTGTAGAACCTCAGCTTACAAATGTTCACCTCTCCTTGGAAAACAAAAGAAAGATTTGGTATACCATTCAGACTCTGATGATGAAAAGGAAAAAAGTCTACGCAGTGTAAAAAAACCCCAGCATTCTATACCATTCAGACACTGATGATGAAAAGGAAAAAAAAGTCTACGCAGTGTAAAAAAACCCCAGCATTTAAAAAATATGGTTTTTAAACTGGTGTTTATAAAACCACCGAGAAGATCCAGTTTGGTGAAACCCTGGCACGAGTTGCCCAGAGAAGCTGTGGATGCCCCATCCCTGGAAACATTCAAGGTCAGGTTGGTCGGGGTCTCTGAGCAACCTGATCGAGTTGAAGATGCCCCTGCTCATTGCAGGGGGGTTGGACTAGATGGCCTTTAAAGGTCCCTTCCCACCCAAACCATTCTGTGATTCTATGATCATTTTTAAATTGATGGGAACAAAACAAAAATAAGGAACTTAAAGATTCCCCCTGCCCCCCAAATTCCATAGTCTTATTTGCAGGGAAATTTATGGTAATGGCTTCCTTTGCTATTTCTGTAGTAAGTCTAAAAGGCTAGTTTGAACACTTGCTATTTATGTGCTGTAATTCTATTAAGAACATATAAGATGTTTTCCAGTAAGATGATGACGGTTGTGTTAGGATACCTGAAGATACTATACGATTCTGAAGCAACTTAGGGGAGCTAACTAATAATACATAAAAATCAATGTTGGACTGGATTAGCACCATGGTACCTGTGACATTTTGCTGCTAAAGGTAAAAAGTGAAAAGCAGTTAACGATCCATAGGTAAGACTTGACAGTTAGGATAGAACCTCATACCATTTACATCTATACAGTTATCTTATCTTGCACTAGTTGAAACCAGGAGAAAATAAGTAATTAAGTGGAAGAAATAGCACTTGTGGACTCAACAGCTTTTGCTCCCTCAGACTTTTATACCATATACTAGCTAAAAATCCCAAGATTCAGTATCCAAGATATTTGATATCTGATAAATCTGATGTCACATTTATTTAAGAAAATATTGTGACAGTTCATTCCCCATTCTGAAAGAAAAATTGTCCAAGGAAGAAGACAGAGACCAGAATGTGAGAACGCTCTATTAAATCACTGACTTCCCAGAGTTTCACTACTCCAGCTGCATCATAACCGTGCAAGAGGCACTGTTTCCTGTCTAGATCCTGCTCAATAGGAGTTCACTTACAAATTATGATGATCTTTAACTACTGTGTATACTGCCAAAATTCCATCTTAAAAGTATCTACTTCAACGCTTCAAATGAATACACTTAGCAAAATTTTCCACTTCTGATCATAAGAACTGCAAGAAGAGACCTTCAGAGATCGGTAGCTCATGAACACAGTTTCCTGCAACTCAGAAGATGACACATGCTTCTCATTCATTGCATTGCAGCTTACATTTTCCCTTCTGGTCTTATGAAAAATGAGTTATGGCTATGTCCTTTTTTCTGGTACTTACTTGATAATAATTAAACTCTCTTAAAAATAAACTCGACTGGGCTGTCAGCTGATAAAGTACAGTCATGTTCCTAAAATCTATTCGAGAGACATTTTCATTAATGACCTCTAGTATGATGTCATAGCTTGTTATCATGAGCTCCCTTACACTTCTGTTAAATAACCCTCTATTTGCTTGAAAGAACACTGTAGTTATAATCCTTCCAAACAACACAAGTCTATCTTCGGACTTACATCAAAAGATTGGGACTGGTCTACTTTCAACACCTGGGACTTGGTTTAACTTCATGACAAAAAACCCCTTTCCCCCCAAAACCAATTTATGCACACTGGAAAAAAGATAAGTTAAAAAAATTCTGTAGCCCCAAACAAAGTGAAGGCTCTACCCTAGAAGGCAGGCTTCGAAGACATTGAGGGAGAAAATTCCCTTCTATTTGTGTTCTCCTGGGGCTACACACGATCCAGGCTTGCCAGGCACAGTAAAAAGACAAATGTGAAAAGGTAAGCGAAACGGCACAAATGCAAATGCACGAAAGCAAGAAAAAATTTTTAGAACATTGGTAACCCTGGAATGTTTTAGGTATAGCAACTTCTATTTTAGGAGGAAAAATACTACCACAAAAGAGAGTGATCATCATAGATATTGAAGAGCTTTTGCATAATGGCTAGGTTTTTACGGAAGATTAAGGGAAAAGTCCTATCAGTTGAACTTTACTACAGTTACATTACTTTCCACGTTGACAGGCTTTTTCTAAAGGAAAGCTGTCCTTTCCTGGCTTAAAAGATAACTACTCCAAGCAACATAAAATAAATAAAGAAAAAAGATTTCTGTTCTTGAACACCAGGGTCACTTACATATTTTTTTATATTTATTTACAGGATTAAAAGGATTTATACTAGTAACAAGAATATTCTGCTAGGGTATCGTGGTAAGACACCTTACCTAGATACAGAAAGACTGATAAGAATTGCACTTGCTGTAAGTATGAAGCAGTGCATTTTCAGTATTATAAAAATTTTAAGGTGTACTGAGCACTGCAATGGATTAGAAGCACAGGGGGGGGTGGTGTGTGTTTACGTTAGTAAGAGAACCTCAGTGCCATAATAGCTTTTATTTAATAGGGAATTTCCTTTTTGATGTGTTAACCGCCAAATATGGGAATTACCATGCCGAAAGGGAAATAATTGACTATTTTAAGCTGAATCAATGTTTTTCACTAAAAATTAGGAAAAGAATGTGGAAGTGAACAGATTGGTTATTATACTGCTCAAACTTCTCTATAAGGAGAGTTTCTGTTTCATTTAGGAGACAACTGAGAAATAAGTAGTGCCTGTAATTTATCATTACTATTATTACAAAACAAAACTTATCCATAGGGCATATGGATAACTTACTTAAACAAATATGTAGATAAACAATTTTTTACAAGAAATTTATAGCCCCGTTCAGACAGACAGTATTGTCATCTTTCATATAACACATACGGGGTGATATTGTAAAGTTGAAGAAATAAAATCTTGGCAAGTGCTGTGTAGGGGACTGTCTAGTAGTATGCCTTTAGGTAGGACTCTGGAAGGGAAAAAAATTGCCAGGTAACAGCTGTAATTTCTGGTATAAAGACTGGAATGGAAGATGAGAAGAAAGAGATAAGAAGCCTGTTAAGGAGAAAGCCTGCAACACGTAGTACAACTGAGATCTTCCATGGTATATAAATCAAGTGGAATTACTCTGGGCATCCCTGAAAGCGAGAGGAATTTGAAGCTGAAAGTAACAAGTGCTAACAAAAAGGCTACAAATTGGAAATGACAGTTGAGAGAGAGGAAAAAAAATACGAAGGCAGACTGATAAGGCAGAAGCTGAGATGGGTGAGGCAAAAGATACAGAGAAATATTATGCTGATGAGGCTTAAGAAAGAAGCTTCTATCAGTACTGCAAACAGAACCAGAAAGGAATGAAAACATTTTTACATAGAAAAGGAATGACCAGACCAGCACTGATAACTGCGTGGAGGTTGAGCACACGAACGATGAGTGGGATCGCAGAACAGCGAATGGTAACAGGAAAGGAAGGACATGACAGATCTGGGGAAAAATGCAGGACTTTTTTTCCAAGTTGAACTTGAGGTTTCTTGCGAGACAACTAGCAGTCTGAAAGAAAGTACACTGTATCTGACTACCTCCACAAGAGCAGCTGAAACAGAAGAAATGGATAAAGTTGCTCAGTGAGAATACAAAGAAGAAAAATGAGAGAATCGTAAACAAAAGTGTAGGAACTATCACTAAAAAAAGCAGCGGCTGAAGTACAGAAAATTTGAGAAACATAGGAAAAGTAAAGAAAGGAGTGACCTTTTTATTAAGGAAACAACAGCAGCTTAACTGAATGGGTATTTTCTTTGAAAAGATATATCTAGGTCTCCAGGTAACAAGACACTTGGATATTTCCAGGGTATTAGCAATATCTGGAAGGGAATGGAAGCTGTTGGTAGGTTTATATTGGATTTGCTTTTTATTTTAAAGAGCATATAAAAACCAAATTGACATAGACCTTTAAATAATTAGATTAGGAAATCTGAATTTTTGAAGCAGCATGTTACTGAGAGGAAGTTACTCGTTTTGAAAAAAAAAATACTAAAACTAATGAAATCTTTTGTTGTGGTCTCCTACTCTGTCAATGAAAGCATCAGAAAATTGATTGGGTCTTCATCTGTGCAGGCTGATTAAAGCATAACCCTATTGTCTGGAACAATATGGAAGGCAGCTAGAGGAAATAAAACCCACAGAAAACAAAACACACTTAGTCAAAAAATATACATACGTACCAAGATATTGATGTCTTATGCAATAATTACAATGAAATATTAAAACACAGAAAAGAGTCACATGTGAAAACTAGTAAGATTTTGCTATTAAACGGCATAGCATTCTGACAGAAATTGCCTAAGAAACACAGGGGAGCATCAACGATGCTGTAGTAAGTCCTTACTCAATTGCTTTGACATACATTTCAATCCTGATAGCATTTTTATTTGATTTGCTTTGTCAAGCATGGAAGAATTATGCCGAAGATTGTATTAAAGTGGAAAATTCTTTGCTTTTTTTCAATTTTATTTTGATCAAACTAGCATAAGCTCCTGTTGAGTAACATTTAGAGTGATTTAGTACGCACAATACTGTTACATTCTACTAGCAATTTAGCTTAACTGTGTGCATTGATAATGTTAATAAAATCTTTAGTGAAAGACTATTTTTGAGCTCTTGTTTTGCAGGCCAGGCTGTGTCAGAAGAAGAGAACTCTGTAGGACAACATGCGTAATGTTATGTAAGTTGGAAGGAAAATGTCTTACCTCCAGCAACTAGCCCAGACTCGCCTAACTGAATTGCTACCCCGAAGCCACCAAGCTTTACCGGGGCTGAATTCTCTTTTGAGGCAAGCAGTACACAGTGTGGCTGAAAAGACAAAAACCCAGACAAATTATTATATTATTTGAGAAATATAATTTGCATTTTAGAACTTATTTTCATAAATTTGCAAACAGAAGCTAGAATTTTTGGAGGTTTTGGAAAGAATTTCTTAATTTCAGGTATTTTTTTTTTCTGGCATGGATTCCTCTTTCTTCATTGGCTTCTCTTTCAATTGTCCCAGGCACCACAAAATCCTTTCAGGACTTATCAGAGCCTGCAAGGACCACAAAGTGAAATCATAATAAAATGGAGATAAAATTTAATGCCTATAACTTCTTACCTGGTATACACTTTTTCTTTTTACCTTCCACCCTTAAGCCTTACACTGTTTCAATTCTCCAGTAGAAATATCCTGCCTATGATACACTTTGTGAGATCTTATCCTTCACACAGAGGACATAAACCGCTATTTTGAGCCTTAATCACAGAATTCACTGATCACTTTCCAACTGCAGGATAGAAAAGGAACATCTCTGTGATGTTTCTAATAAATATTCCAATGAGAGGGGAAATTGTTTAGGTTTCTAAACTGGATTGCATACAGAGTCATCCATACCTTTGATTTTCCACAGTCTTTCCACTAATAAGAGTGTGGTATAATGTATAAAAATGGAATAATATTATACAACAATCTGGACGAATACTGACTGGCATAGGAAGACGCAACATACAGACAGAACCTATTACAACACAATTTAGTATTTAATACACATAGCCAAACTACTGCATTTAATATACAACGACTTCCTGCATTTACTCAAAGCCTCCCTCTGCACTCAACCATATTATTTACAAGGAAGAATGTCAAATTTGTATACTGCTGCTTGAGAATACATTACTGCTTAAATTACAAAATTAGGATCTCAAAATAGTGCAAATGAGCTACAACAAGCTTAATCTGACTACCTGTAAAGTCATCATCTGTAACTACCCATATTTTCTTTTAAAAAGTTTCAATTGTATGAGAACAAGCACCTTCAAGTAAGAATGCACAGCCTGTTTACAATTGTAACGGAAATCTGCAGAATCCCATAAAAGCTTAATTCCTAAACAGATGATATCTTAAGAAAGTCAACATGAAATTCTCATTTCAAATGCTAAGGACAATACCAAGCCAAGACAAAGTTCTTGAGATGATCATTAAATTTAGGCTACCTTATATCAGGACTTCTAGAATCCATTTTTAAATTTGCAATTTATAATCCCTTATATTCTATTTAAAATAATATTACCAGGTGGTATTATCTCTGCATATTGTATTTCACTTCTGCCTTACTGAAATTAAGCTGCACACTTTGGGCAGTTTCCCATTCTCTCATTGCTGTCACTTTGAGTGAAAAAGATCAACCTCAAATTTCTAACCCCAGGCAAGGAGGAAGGTAGATGTGAGAACTACACCAACACAAGCCAAATGTACCATGTCACTGTGGTGCCGATTTATCTTTACCTTACATTTGAAAAAGTGATATGATTTCCATTAGAGTATTAAAAAGAAGACAGGCTGTACCAACATAAATGCCATCCAAAAAAGGATGCTGCAGAGACTGCTCCCCAAAACAGTTTCTGAGAAAAAAATCCAAATCTCCAATTCAGAGTGAAACTCAGAGAAAATTTTATTATAGAACCTCTCCCAGCAAAGCCCAAATTAACAGCAAAATCGATCTTTTCAATAAACTGAGTTTTGCTAGTTAAAAATACCTTTAAAAAAAACCAAAACAGCTGCAACACTCGTTAAACTTCCCCTTGTTGCTAATTGCACTGTGTCAGCTGATTCTCATCACTTTCATAGAGAAGCTGGTGCTTTAGCTTTCTAATAAGAGGACTTGCACATTACTCCTCCCCGTCTTCACCAGTAGTTTTGAAAATCAGCAGAAGTTCTTAAAATATAAATGGTAAGTGGCTTCTTTTATACTTAAGCTATACTAAACCAAATTTCTATTAAAATTTCTCTGCACAGGTACTACTGACCTTCAAATCCTTTCTTAAATATACCTAGGTTCAAACATGCCTGCTTGCTTACAAAACTTATGATAGCAAAAAGTTATGCTTCTAACGTATCTGCAGTGTAATCGATTTTTTTCTCTCTCATTGACCTAAAACTTGTCAGTACTTAAGGAAGTCACGATGCCAAGCATTTTTATAGAAAAGCAACATAAACAAAATATCAGTATTAGATAGGTTTTAAGATGTATTTGAAAGCATCACATTTTTAAATGAAACTTTAAAAATTACTTCTTGCTCTGACAATACGAAACGGCAAATATGAAGTCAGAAATGTTTTTCAAACTGCTAACATATTAAACAGATTTAATGCAATTGTAAGGTCAGCCAACATAGGATGTTAAAATATTTCAGACTGTCCTCTCAACGATTCAGATTCTGTATACACATTAGGTCTTACTAAGAATTTTACCTAAAGTGCTGCCATTTTCACTGCTGTAGCTACATTTAAATGTAAATTTGCATTTTTAAGACCTAACACGAAAATGAAAAACTATTTTGAAGTTATGTATATGGCAGTGTTCTGTTGTTTTTTTTCTTGTTACTGTTGTTGGACAACTAAGTTCACAGTACCAAAACCAATTCTGAATTTTTTGTGAGATTAGGGGAAAGAACCTTGCACCTTTAAAAAAAATTCTAAATAAACTTATTTATGGAATCTTTTATCACTATGACATACAAACAGTAGACAAAAGTTGTATCATTACTAATCAGCCTTAACCATATCTCTAAGGAGCTCATTGTGATTCTCCTCTCCTAACCACACACTTTTTTGGTTTTCCTTCTTTGGTCAAAGCTGACTTTTATCTTCTAGACTGTACTTTCCTGGTCAAAAATAAGCTTAGTGAAATTAAAAACTTGGAAATGAAAACAAAGAAAATGTGAAAACAATCTGTTACTGCATTAATGTAGTTTCCAGCTAGTATTAATTTCTTTGCATAAGATTGATTTGTGAACAGTCAAGAAAAGGAAAAAAAATACTTAAATTTACATGAAGGTATAAACTATTAAAACCAAGCTACTGTAATAGTACTGACTCACAGTGTTACTTATAACAGACTACATAGCCAAATAAATATTAATTGACAATTGCTTTTCTAATTGAAAATTGGTGACTTGCATGCGAGAGATCCTGGGTACTTATTTAAAATTAATACTGATGAGTTTAGAATTGTTTTGATAAATTTCTATGTACTTTGTATCAACAATGAGAATAGTTCTCTTAGCTATGCTTACCTGTTCTTGCATCTTAATGAAAAAGTTTTCTGTGTTAGAAAGACTAATCCTAACATCTGAACTTAAAAAAGTTATTTGAACTTGTAGATAAACCAAAAAATTTAAATTTCTAAAGTTTGCAGCAAAACATAATAGTTGACTTCTAAAGCAACATAAAACAGCAATAAAGATGTAATTACGAAAATAGTTATCTGTGTGAGTACTCTATACCATCTACTCTTGCCTACTTCACGTGAAGAAAAACAGGGAACCGATTATTCTAGACTTACATTGTATCATGATATCCAGCTGAAACTCCTTCTACTCAGCTACCGTGATATTTCAGTGCATTTACTTTTCTTAGTTATTGCCTTTTATGTTTATGTTACATAAGACTGCATGCAATAAAGCAAGCAAACATGCGAAAATGATCCAATGGTGATTTAATTCTTAACATTTCTCTTTGCATCCCTACAGAACAGCTAAAAAATCCTCACATATGATGGCTGCAGCTTCAGCTGATTTACTGACCATTATTCCATACAAGGAAGTCTTCTGGAGTAACCAAACTAACCTAGCCAGAAATGCCTCGGAAATTCAAAACAATGCCAGTTGTCCCTTAGATGAGAACTCACTGTCACTTGCTTTGATAGTTTTTTACTCTCTTATTTTTGTTGTTGGATTGGTTGGAAATATTATAGCCCTGTTTGCTTTCCTATGCATTCATCAGAAGAGGAATTCTATCCAAGTTTACTTGCTAAATGTAGCTGTTGCAGACCTTCTGCTGATCTTCTGTCTTCCCTTCCGAATACTCTATCATGTTACCAAAAACACCTGGATGTTTGGACTGATTTTATGCAAGATTGTTGGAACTCTATTTTACATGAACATGTATATTAGCATAGTACTGTTGGGACTAATTAGTCTAGATCGTTACGTAAAAATAAATAAGTCCGTGAGGCGTACTAAAATGTTAACTACTACACGAAGTATACATATTTGTTGCGTGGTGTGGGCACTTGCACTAACAGGATTTATAATAGTAGTTGCACCGGCTTTCTTTAAAAGTGAAGACAGCAATTCTACTATGTGCTTTCATTACCGAAATAAACATAATGCAAAGACAGAAGCAATTTTGAATTATATTATTGTGATCATTTTTTGGATAGTTTTTTTCCTTTTGATACTTTCGTATATTAAAATTGCCAAGAATCTTCTGAAAATTTCAAGGAAAAGAGCACATTTTCCCAATGCAGGAAAATACACCCAGACAGCAAGGAATTCCTTCATTGTACTCATTATTTTCACCATCTGTTTTGTTCCTTACCACGTGTTCCGGTTTGTCTACATCACATCACAGTTACAAAATCCATCCTGCTATTGGAAGGAAATCATTCACAAATGCAATGAGGTGATGCTTATATTTTCATCTTTTAACAGCTGCTTAGACCCAGTTATGTATTTCCTAATGTCCAGAAGTGTCCGTAAGACTGTATTCCAACTTATTTGCAGAAGACTTCATGGAGATTCAGGCCTAACTCTGGAAAGCACTTCAGAAATAAAACTCGGACAATATACACAAGAGC